CTCGCATCCGAACAAAGATTTAGCCCCTGCGAGGCCCTCTCACCATTTATAACTAGTTCTCCTCCACTTGAGGTTTGAACCCTAACCAACTGATGCTCGCAATCAATCATGGCCCCGTTGGCCCCCAACCAATCCATCCTAACAATCACCTTCAACACTCGCAACAGTATATGGACTAGATCAACATGAAACCTCTCACCATACACATTCAGGACACAATCCTGATACCTCCTCGCAACACTAATGGTGCGGTCATCTGGAATCTCTACCTCGAGTGAGGAATCCAGAGTTCCAGGCGCATCCCGGAACTTCTTGCTAAGCACAAGAGACACGAACGATCGGGTAGCACTCGAATCAAACAAAACATGCACCGACATACCATTGACCAAAAAGGTCCCTATACAAGCATAATGTTCACATAAGTCATGCAAATCATAAGAAGCAGAGAATAATAGATACATACCAGCCACAACGTCTGGCGCTGCCCGAGCATCCTCGGTGGTCAACTTAAAAAGCGGCTCTTCATTGTTGGAGCGTCCACCTTGACAGGGCAGCCATCGGTAATCCTCATCATGGCGGGTGCAGGCACCACCACCTCCCCTCCCCTTCCCTACAACCTCGAAAAGTTGACCCACTTATGGCTAGTCTGGTTGCAGTGAAAACAAATCAAGCCCTTCGTGGGGCAGTCCCTGCTCAAGTGGCCCTGCTGGCCACATGCATAGCATCCCAAGCCTATGATACAACAAGCCCCACTTTTCACCCTACTACACTTGGCACACCAGCCTCGACCTTGCTGACCCCTGTTGGAATTGTCTGAGGTCTTACGCTTCTTAGCCTGACCCACTGCTGCCTGCGCCTGCTCCGGCTTCTGCTTGGTGCGGAAGTCCAACTCCATATCACGTTCCCGGGTCTTCTCTACCATCTCATTCAGGGTTTGACACCCTGTAAATCTCCCAAAGTCCCGGATATCATCCCTCAGCATGGAATGATATCTCATCCTCCGCATCTCCTCATCGGTGGCATACAGTGGGATCAACAATGCTCGCTCCCAAAACTTGGCCGTGATCTCCGGCACTCTCTCGGTGGTCTACTGGAGTTTCTAGAACTCCCTCACCATCCTCTCCACCTCAATGGATGGTACGAACTCCAAGTCAAATCCTTGAACGAACTCGGCCCATGTCATCTCAGCCGCACTGGCTGCTCCCACCTGGCTGGTAACCTCACCCCACCAATCTCGGGCCCTATCTCTCATCATACAAGAAGAAAACCCCAACTTTGCCTCATATGAGCAAGAACTCGTGCGTTGTGTGTTCTCGATATCTGCCACCCAGCATCTGCTAAGAATGGGGTCCCTCACCCCAAAAAACTTTGGCGCCCCACACGCCTTGAACTCCCGGAATGAGGGAGTTCTGAGTCTCTCCTACATAATATCCACCATACCCTCTTTGACCATCCCAAAGATGGTTGGGGTGGTGTCAAGGATGCCCCTCGTAACCTCGGCTGCAATAAGCTCGCGTAGCCTCTCATCAAAGACATCAGTAGTGTTACATGATCCCGCCCCGGATCCAGATCCCGACCCTGACCCCCAGCTCCAAATCTTGTTACCACCATACTGTACTGAAATACCATAAAATATAATGATCAGGATATCCATAACAGGGATCTTTCCACACTGATCCTCCTTAGAGCTCCCAAGTCTAACATCGGTTCGGGTACAGGTCCTTTGCTTTCAGTAGTACGTGCCCAATACTACCTTCCACACCTACCTGTACCTTTTCCCAATGCTCTACCTGATAACTCCAATCCATCCCCAAAATAAACCATATCCTACATGCTACTCTATACATCAAATCCCAGGTCATCCTAAGGTTTGCTCTACTCACATCAATCAGACCAACCAAAATAGGTTGCCTTTATGCATGCAAATTATACACAGAAAAGGATCAAACAGACTTTCGAATAAAAGATTATACCCTAGGACCACAACCAGATAAGGAACAGGAAATACGGCCAAATCAATCATTCTAAGGCTACAAGCTCCTAAACATATAAAATTTTAAAAGCATACACATAGCAAGTTCCATACGATCATCAAAGCTCAAATGTTAGTATAACATGGCTAACACATTAGGGAACTACTTACTTGGCTCGGCTGATCACGTGCGTTGCACTCTCATTTTTTCCTTTCTTTAAAAGCTTTTTATTTTATTTTGAAAACAATTCTACCATTTCCTTAGTTTGAGTCCTAACACACCCGAGAGTGTGCCCGAATCCCTCAAACCAAGGCTCTGATACAAACTTGTAACGACCCAATTTTTCAAAGAAAACTTTCATTTTTGATTATCCAAACACATTTCCATAAATTACAAAAACCCAATATATTTGTTTTCAAAACACAATTCAATTACAACTTTTATTCCAAAACATTAGAGTGTCCCATAAATACGACTGAGATAGTGCACACTGCGCCATCAAACTTTGCACTTGCCCTTGGGCTCTGATGTACTTGAAACGAATCCACAAATTGTAATATAATGCTTAGTGAGTTCCTAGACCATACCCCACACACAAGCCACATAATACATATCATATCAGTTGTAAAAGCTACATCTACCACATTTCACATATCACCTTAGCTATAAAGCTATCTCTACCATTAGCCATAGAGGCTACCTCTACCGTTAGCTATAAAAGCTATCTTTACCCTTAGCCATAAAGGCTATCTCTACCGTTAGCTATAAAAGTTATCTCTACCATAGCCCTAGAGGCTATCTCTACCGTCAACCATAAAGGATATCTCTACCACATATTACCACATAATCATGCCACACACCTCTACACAACTAGTATACCAACTATCAAAAACTGCGCCGACCTTGGTGCCTTAGACCCAATGGTATGGTGAGGAGAGTCACCTTTTGTCTGATGAATTCAAAAGCTACTCTCCTGACAGTCTGTAACCACCCACACTGAATAATAACATTACCCAATGTTATAACTTCACACATTCAATGGAATACCCAAACTTCAAGTCCCTCCATAAGGCCCGACTATTCTTCCTTTGATAATGGGCCAAAAGTCCAAATCCATAAATCATTAATGGGCCTCATGGCCCAATAAGGCCTAACCATAGCATGAATGGCCTAAAAAACTAAACTAGCCCACCATCCCCAATATACAACCAACAATTCAAAGGCCCAAAACGGATCCAAGCCCATCTGTTGTGTGTGCGCTTAGCGTACCACCCTGGTACGCACAGCGTACTGAGTCTCTGAGACTTACGCGCTGCGTACGCTAGGTTACGCCCAACATACTAACATATTAAGCACTTTCTCCATTAAGTTCTTAATACTCGATTCTCTCATGTCCAAAAGTCAGATCTAAGCCTATTAAGACAACCTAGGGCATAAAGTTGGCAACTTTATGCCTTTGCATGTCTCATATGTTTGCAACACTCCCATTAATACCTTTTTAAGGGTCTTAACCCATGCATGTGGTTAAAACACACATCAAGGCTTCATTTTTATGTTATAAATGGACCAAGGGACCTCAGATCTAACATTTCCATCCTCTGGATTTGCTCAACTCACAAGAGGAGATCCAAAACCAACAAAGGGGACAAAACTAGAAATCCCTAGCTACATCTAATGCTTAAGGTGGAAATGTCCAAGCTTTATACCTCCAGAAGCTCCTCAAGGTGGACTAGACGCAGATGCTTGAAGCCTAATGTCACTCCAAGCTTCTTTGAAAAGTTCTCCTTCTTGAATGACACTAAAAATGGCCAACAACACCCTTTCTAAGCGCAAAATGGTCTCGCAAACTCTCTCTGGAGTAGAAGAGCGAACTAAGGCTATGGAGGCTTTCTATGGTTAAGTCCAAAGGGTTAAGGATGTTTAAATAGGCCCCAAGTCTGGAATTTAGGGTTTGGACATCCAGCACCTACGCCCATCGTACTTCTGGTACGCCTAGCGTACGTGTTGCCTCTCCGCGATCAGCCTTGCATAGTACGCTAAGTGTACTCATAAGTATGCCCAGGGTACTTAAGGGACTATTATGCTAAAATTAGATTTCTTCAAGGCTTTCAAAGTAATACTAATTTGGAGTGTTACATATAATGTCAACAGACATTACAAAAGCATGTGTTTCTACAAAATCCCATATCACTTAGTCTTGGCAGTATTTATGAACTGCATACGCTACTACAATGATCCAAAAAGTTGGTTGGATTTTTTTATCATCAACCAATGATATACCAAAGCTCTCAAAAGTAGGCTTGAATTTCCATCATCAACAAATGCCTAACACATATATAAAAACTTCCACCCCCGACTGACTAAGTTCACTTCCATAACAGCCAAATGCAAAGCACAACTATAATAAGAACCACAATCACAATCTTCAAACTGGAAGCTACCTTGTTGGACTCACCCTGGAGCTTCTACAACATCTCAACCTCAGCTATCTCCTTTGATAGGAGAAACTCCAACTCAACCACTTTAGTCATACACTTATGTAATTCAGACTGATTCTCTCTACTATCCAACTTTTGCATCATTGAGGAAATTAGTGTTTTGTAGTAACCATCTTCTAATTCCTCATCTATCAACTCAAATAAGTTGCATTTCGTAAGGTTGGTCTGTTAATTAAGAAAGCAAATACATAACATAGTTGTTAATCAAGTATACAAATAAAGAAGTTGGATTGGGCTAACAATACCAAGGTTTTTAATAACATCTACTATTCTTTTTTGGACACATTAGGGTTTTTGAAACCCTAATTTATTGAATAAATCTTAGATTAAGTTAAAGATACTAACAAAAATATAAATCTAGCTAGATCGGAAGCTCACATGCTATTTTGATAGTTCAAGAACCTTCTCCCTGGATTTCCAAGGTGCAACAAAGTGCGTTGCAATGAGGGTTTGTCACCGTCACAATCGGGTAGGTTGTACTCATCGTCGTCCATCGCAACTCGTAGCCTCAACGTTTAACTAGTGGAGGATGATGATGAAGCCATCGTTGAAAGAGATCTCTAAACTTGCAAAGCTTAGCTCAAATGGTCAGATGAGGGAAACAATGTATTGTGGGTGTACTATTTGAGGATATCATTTATTAGGTAGTTTGAACGTCAGGTTATGACGTGGCTGAGTAGATACAGTAACAATTAAACTTCTCTCACACGTCGGATTGCCAACTAAGCTTCGTAATTGGACATCCGACTCAAATCGATGAAGATGTCACAATGAACAGGTAATTTGAAACTTTGAAGACTAATTAAAAAAAAGTGACTAACAAAACCAAAATTTTATTGTAATATGTAATTTTCCCATTTTAGAAATGATGGTCACTAGATATTTTAATAGCTACATTTGAAAATTTTCCATTTTTAGAATTGAAAAATGTATCCACATAAGTAAGAATGGGGAAATAAGATTTCAAACACTTTTTGTCGAAATTGTTTTATCATAAATCTACTGTTTATTATATGGAGCCAAATCAAAATCCTTTTATTGATAAATAAATATTTAAAATGTCAAATTATGTGGATAGAATCGATATAAAATAGAATTAGGGCTCCACGCTTTCTAGTTCCCGTTTCTATCTCCCCAAATCCCAGTTGCCTTCTCCTCCCTTCCACTTGTCGATTGCTCTGTTGCCACCGATCACCGCTACCCCCAACGGCCCTAAATCGACGCAACCTGTTCACATCGGTATGTCTCCGATTTTGAATGTTTAATATTGAACTTTGTGAGCGAAGTTATCTATTGGCACCTTTCATGAATTACTTCAATGAAAGCACACTAAGGAAACAATACATTATTCTTTTTCCTAACAATTGATTCCATGCGTGAACTTAGGACGTGGAACATAGTAATTTCAAGTTATCGAAACTTTTTCAACGCTTAATATTGTGGCAACTGGCAACTTTGTATTTAATTCAAATAATCACTAAATTTTTTATTTTAGAATAAACATTTTCATCAGCTTTCTAGTTGAAAGGGAGTTCCTTTGACTTCCAAAGGACAAAATGTTTATCGTTATAGAACTAAAAAAGTTTTCATTAAATTATGTTTTGTTATTTTCAGTAAAATATTCTAGTTCTATTATGATTTATCATTTGAGTTTAATTTTCACCTTAACTTTGCCCTTTTAATTTATTTGTTATGTACATGTTTTGATGCCGAGTTAAATAAATGATATGTATGATATATGGTTGATGATATAAAGTTATCGGTGAGCTCAACTGCTCAAGTTGATTTTTGATCGTTCTTACCTTGACTTTGACTTGAGTTATGAAAGAAAAGTTTGCATTGATGGAGATGCATGCAATATGGCCTATTTTTTTTTTTTTTTTTTTTTTTTTGATAGAAAAGCTTACACCGTTAAAAAACGAACAAAATGGTTCGCAATACCGAAGAGGCCATGAAAATTAAGGACTTTAAGTGGAAGCTCCGATTTGAAACTTTGCATGTATTAAGAGCCTCTTTTAAATAATGTCATTTTTTGTTTCTCTTTTCAAGCATACATGATAGTAATTTTACTTATCATATTTACTAACTGTTGGTACTAATATGAGAAATAAAATTTTAATTACTAAAAGGTCGATGGAATAAAGAAGAAGCATATTTTTAGGCAGAATTTATCTATTTTTCCGTTCTTTTCTACCCACTTGTCACGTTTTTCTCATCTCTCTCGAGTCCAAACCCACTCAATTTTTTAATTTTAAAATAAATACCAACTAATTGAAATCACTCAAAACTAATTCACAAAATAATTAAAAGATATAAAACAAATTTGGTATAAGTTTTGTATTCATGAAGTACAACTTTTTTGGAATATATATATATATATATATATATATATATATATATATATATATATATATATATATATATATATATATATATATATATATATATATATATAGTAGCCGTTACCCGCGCACAGCGGCGGGGACAAATAGCTTCTTTCAACGATATTTTTTTTTTTAAAAAAAATGTTATGTTCCAAAAGAAAGTTCATGTCGTGGGTGAGAGGAAGGGCAGTAGTTGTGATAGTGGTTAGTTGAAGGCGGAAGGAGGCAGAGCGGCTGTGGTGGTGGTGGTTATACTGTCTTGGTTACTGGTTAGGGTTCTTCGAGAGAGTGTGCGTATATTTCTTACTTTGAAGGGATTACGAAGATAGATATTATGAGATGACTTGTTACCAATGTGAGAGAAGAGATCCTCTATAAATTGTTGATATTGACCGCTTCAAATGGCTGAAGTGTTGAGATTGACGGGTTCAATTTGCAAATGAATTCTTCTATTAATTTGATACCAGATTTTTAGGGGATAAATGATAGGGTTAAAGTTTTAATATTATTATATTATAAATGGGTTGTACTTCAAGCTTAATAGTTTGGACGTCTTAAAAAAATAATATTATTATATTCAATCTATTTATAGAAATAGTTAGATTTCTTTTATAAGTAGTAAAGATATATATATATATATATATATATATATATATATATATATATATATATATATATATATATATATATAGAGAGAGAGAGAAAAAGAGAGAGAGAGAGTTTGTTTACTCGTGCGGTGCACTCTCTTTCCCCATGATGTCGAGGGTTCAAGCCTAACTGGTGCTGGAAATTTAGTGGGTAAATTGTAATTTGGCGAGTTGCCAAATATCACACATTGGTTGGAGGAGGAATTAACGATGTGTTTATAAGGTTTTTTTGTTCTTGTTATGGTCTCAAAGGCTTTAGTAAAAAAAAAGTGATGGACCAAACTAACACACATGCCAAACTGTGGAATCGAGTTCATGAAATGGCACACTTCACACGATGCATCTATAGTTGACGATCTTTTATTTTTGCAAAGTTCAGGTCGAATCAGTTGGGATGACCTAGTCAACTTGTTGATTTCGTTGCAAGCTACTGCGTATAAGGATCAAACTTTATATATATATATATATATATATATATATATATATATATATATATATATATATATATATATATATATATATATATATATATATAATACAATATTTTCTAAGCCAATATTGATGGGATGTTCAAGTCTAAGAAAGAAGTTCCAATCTTATCCTATGAAATATCTGCTGTGGATGATTTATTGGGACAATGTTTTTAAATTGTAACATAGTTTAAATTGTGTATATATATATATATATATATATATATATTGTCAGTATATTTAATAATTTATATTTTTTGTACAAATTTAATCACCTATGTTTTTTTACATTGTACATATATTACCATTAAATGTAATGGTCGTACGTGCACAAAATATAAAACACAACTAACTAAATGCATACAAAAAAAACATAAATGATTAAATTTATATAAAAATAATTACAAATGACTAAATATATAAGCAATTAGATTGTGTTACCTTTTCAAGTTGTTACCACATAGTCTTTTTGTTAAAAAGCTATATATGATAATAAACTAACTGATTTAATTTTTTTAAAAGGTATATATTTTTGTTGTGCAATCATAGTTTGCTTTATATATGTTGGAAATTTGTTAAATGGAAAATTCTCTCTATGGGATTTGTCCCATATTGGAAGAAAGAGGAACCTTATATTTCCTTAAAAAGCCTCCTACTAGTTGTTTAGCAATTAGATCAAAGGGTTGGGTTAGAGGGATTGAGTTGGATTTGGTGATTAGGCTAGTCAAAATGGTCATATATATATATATATATATATATATATATATATATATATATATATATATATATATATATATATATATATATAATGGTCAAAAGATTAATTCCGATTTTGACTTTTATTATCTATTAAAAAAATTTGTTAAATTCGTTTTAACTGTTTTGACAGTTATTTTCGATTAGCAGTTTTTGGAGGGAAAATAGTCAATCTATACGTGTAAATAGATCACCAAAGAACAGATTTTCGGTTCAGAAAAACCATACAAAATATTCCTCATATAAATTCGTATACCACATACAATGAAGGGAACATAGTGAATTTCGTCAGAATCAAGAGAAGATCTTGGTTGATTGTTGTATCCTATTCACAGATCCCTACCAAGGAAATTTCTGTCTTAGGACACTGCAAGGCAGGCCTCGATCTCTACAATTTCTTGATTATATTTTTGTGTAATCATCAAACAAGTATGTTTTCTGTAAATTGATTATTGTATATTATGTATATTTGAATTTCGTTTGTTTTATTTCAATTACTTTTGTTGATTGTATACTTCTATAATAACAATCGTAGAAGGAAATCAAAGAGTGAAGAATGGATCGAAATTCCATCATCAAAACACATGTAGAAAAGCCTGAGAAATTCAAAGGCTCAGATTTTAGGAGATGGCAACAGAAGATGTTGTTTTATCTAACAACTCTTCATGTTTCTATTGTTCTCACTGATGATTCTCCCTCTCCTCCTAGTGTTATAACCACTACAGAAGGAACAACACCACCCAGTGAAGCCTAATTGGCAGAACATCAAAGGGCAGTGGAAACTTGGAACACAAATGAATATAATTGCAGAAATTATATTCTGAATGCCCTAGATGATTCTCTCTTTGATATCTACTCTACCATGACTATTGCAAGAGGGATATGGGAATCACTGAAAAGAAATACAAAACAGAAGTGGTATGTTATAAGAAATTCGTGATTGGAAAGTTCATGAATTTCAAGATTGTGGATACCAAATCTGTCCTCAAACAAGTGGAGGAAATTCAAGTCATTGCACATGATCTTGAAATTGAAGGTATGGATATAAACTCTAACTTTCTTGTTGGTTCAATCATTGAAAAACTCCTTGTTTCTTGGAAGAATTTCAAATTATATATTAAGCACTTAACTGATGACATGAGTTTTGAGCAACTTGTGTTGAGAATTCATGTGGAAGAAGATAACAGATTGAATGAGAAGGCAGATGCAAATACCTTGGAACCAAGTGCAAACTTTGTTGGAGAAGCAAGTACTTCAAGGACAAAGCACAACAACAATAAAGGGAAGCAAGGCTCCAAAAACTCCTCCAAAGATGGCAAAAATCATGGCCCAAACAAGAAGAATTCTGGTCTATGCTATGTTTGTGGCAAAATTAGACACAAGGCCAAAGATTGCAGATTCAGGAGGGGTCAAAGAGGAAAAAATGGAGGGAACAATGGAAACAATGGTGGTAATTTTGGTGGAGGAAATTCTGGTCAATCCAACATGGTTGAATCACCAAATCAGTTTGTTGTTGTGATTCAAACCAACATGGTTAGCAATTGTGTGGATTGGTGCATTGATACTGGAGTCACAAGGCACATTTGCAACTCCTAAACCATGTTTTCTACATACCAGAAAGTCTTGGATTCTGAACCAATGTTTATGGGGAATGGCTCTACTACAAAAGTTGAAGGAAAAGAAAAAGTGAAGCTGCAACTGACTTCTGAAAAAGAACTTATTTTAAGTGATGTTTTGCATGTTCCTGAAATTACTAAGAATTTGATTTCTGGTCCTATTCTTAGTAACAAATGTTTTAAACTTGAATTTGATTCTGATAAGTTTGTTCTCACCAAAGGTGGGGTGTATGTTGGAAAAGGATACCTTAGTGAGGGTCTCTTCAAAGTCAGTGTCTTACCTTTGTACTATGGTGTTGAAACACCAAACAATGATGTAACCAATGTTAATGTTAATGCAATAATGGGCACTACTAGCCCATCTTCTATGTATATGCATGATCCTTCATTTTTGTGGCATTCTCTTTTGGGACATGTCAATTATCACTCTATTCAAAGAATGGCAAAACTTGACATGTTACCAAAATGTTCATTAGACAAAAACATAAAATGTGAGGTTTGTGTAGAATCAAAATTTTCACAATATCCTCATAAATCAGTTGAAAAATCTAATGAAATACTTGACTTAATCCACTCTGATTTATGTGATTTTAGAGCAACACCTACAAGAGGAGGAAAGAATTATTATATATCTTTTATTGATGATTGCAGCAAGTATTGTTATATTTATTTGTTAAATACCAAAGATGAATCCTTGAATTATTTTAAGAATTACAAGGCTGAAGTTGAAAATCAACTTGACAAAAAGATCAAAATTCTAAGGTTTGATTGAGGAGGAGAATATGAATCCAAAGACTTTGCCGAATTTTGTTCTTAAAATGGTATTATACATCAAACAACTGCTCCATATACTCCTCAACAAAATGGAGTGGCAGAAAGAAAGAGTAGAACATTAAAAAAAACATGATTAATTGAATGTTAACTACTTCTCTAGCACCACATAATCTGTGGGGAAAAGCATGTCTTGCAGCAAATTCAATACTTAATAGAATTCCTCATAAAAATAGTGATAAATTCCCCTATCATCTGTGGACAGGAAGGTTACCCTCTTATAAAGGGATGAAAGTGTCGGGTTGTCTTGCTAAGGTACAATGTAACACTAGTCAAAATAGGTTAATAAACAATCACATGTGATTATGCCAATCATGTAATGTGATTATGTTTCTATGTAATCATCAAACAAGTATGTTTTCTGTAAATTGATTCTTTTATATATATATATATATATATATATATATATATATATATATATATATATATATATTGAATTTCGTTTGTTTTATTTCGATTACTTTTCTTGATTTGTATACTTCTATAATAACAATATATTTATCTATATGAAAATACAAGGTTATAGGAGTTGGTAAATTTTTCATGGTAATAGGGATTTTATTCGGTTGGTGTAATTATGTTTTTATTTATTTGGTCCAATTTAATTGAGTTTTGTTTTGTCTTTTTTTATTTAATTTTATGTTAATTGTAATAAAATCAAAATAAAGTTTGGTATTGATTTTGGGTTATCTTGTTTTAATATTATTTGATTTGATTTACCGGGTAAGCCGAATAAAGCTTCTATATATTTTAGATCAAGTAATTAATTCACAAATATCAAACTAAAATAACTTTTTGTTAAAATATTCATTTCGTTTCTTTATCAAACTTGAAAAAAAAAAAAAAATAAATAAATAAATTGTGTGCCATTCATGTTTGCCTGCTTACAAAAGCCTTTGATTGTCGCATCGATGTTGATGTTTTTGCTCTATTGACCAGGTATGTTGTGCATAATTAAGATACGTAAGGCTCTTGACCAACATTAAAGGAGACTTTTAAAGAGAATTATAGTGGTTTTGTGATATTACTAAAAAAAGCCACAAATCTAATATACTTTTGTGTTATTCTTAAAACTAAATATATCCCAATTTTATTTTTATCTCCATATCTAATAAAAGAATAATTCTTTTATCATGTGTCACAATGTTAAGCATTGTAATCAATATCATGACACTTATCAATCTGTTGACATTTATAATCAATATCATAACATTTGTCAATCTATTAATACTCCATTTCAAATTTTAAATTTCAAAATTTAAATAACATTTTAACTACATTAAATTAATAATATTAGAATAACAATAAAATAAAATTTATACAAATTATAATAAAATAAAGTTTATACAAATTATAAGATGATATATTTTACGTATTTATTTGAATCAACGATTATAATTTTATATATAACTAAAAAAATATATTTTAATTAATAATTTATTTAAAATTATTAATTAATAGTTTTGAGTTTTTACTTAGAAAATTTAATTAATTTTTTAACCGTAGTTCTCACGGGTTATAAACTAGTTATCAAATATATCCCAAGCGTTTTATCTTTGATTAGATAGACAATTAAGCAAACCGATAAATAATATTTACAATTATATGTAAATTAATTGTGAACATATTTTGTTGTAATTATTATTAATAATGAGATAGGCTGAGCTTTATTTACTAACCGGGATAGGAGGTACGGGGTGCACACTCGTAATGATAAATGAAAACTCGAAAATAAAAGGGTCTTGGGGGAGTACCTCTTTGTCCAGGGTACGGGTTGCACCTTGGCAAGGTCTATGGGCAGCGCGCCCGTAACCTAAACGAATTTCTATGTTGAGTTTGACTCTAGCTATACATTTTTCTGCCAAAACTATTGGTGATATCATGATGATATCATGAGTTGGTTATGTCTTAATAACCAACGACTTTTAACTACTTTCCCTCTAGTAGAAGAATATTTTCTGGTTCTAGAAAAAGGGTTTGAACTCATACACACAAAAATCATACAATTGACTCATACAACACAAAAACATCAAGGTATTTTTTGTGTTTCTTATTTAGAAGTGATCTGACTTTTAAATTGAAATTATTTGGATTATTCCAAATCTGATTTTGTCATAACCCATGCTATAGGGTCGAAATCACAGAATAGGAAGTTGTTGTAATCACAATCCAAGAAATATCTCAAAATATTGATATTCTTAAGGCCCTGAAAATCTAACATTTTTTAAGTATGAAAATAGGTATTAAACTCGTGTATGACACGAGTTTATTAATTGAAAGTTTTGATAACCATAAAGATCATGTTCATAAAAAAAATAACGATTGAATTTGTGATCTTTTGGTAAACCGTATGGACTATTTATGTAATTTGGTCCTAATTAATCTATACTAATATAATTAATTAATATGAATTCACAAATGGAATAGACTAGCCACGTTAATATACATATACATTAATTAATATATTAATAGAAAGAGAAATTCAAAAATAAAAATTTATTATGTAAATTAATTAATCTATTTATAAAATTAATTAATATGAGATGATATTTAGTATGTAAGATTTGAATAAAAAAGAAGAAAACTATAAAAATGATAAGTGTATATTAAATAATTCAAAAAAATTTAAAAAATGATAAGTGTCAAAATAAAAAAAAGAATATCATGCGGTAAAAATTATTCTTATTTATTATGATAGATTATGGTAGATACCATTCTCTTAAAAAAAAACTCTATTAATTTTTGCAAAAATCATATAAAGCTCCAAAAATTTTGGATCTACGACGATGATGGTCCTATCACGGCCATCATGTTAAGTCCATGCATTCTATTTGTAAGCAGATTTAAAATTTAAAATTCTATTTTAGTGGAAACATTTATTGAAACTACGAAACTTGTCAACAAAAAGCAAAACAACAATAACGACCAAGCAATTTTAATTTTAGAAATTATCAATAATTCAATATTGACTTCAACATTGAACAACAAAAAGATTGAGCCGCTATAGTTTTGAAGAATATAAGCAACAGAAAACATTTTATATTGATAAATAAATAATTATAAAAAACAATGATAAATTCATGTTAAATTAGAAGTCGGTAAAAGTATAGTTTTAATTAAGGACTTATACAATAAAGGTTTCAAGTTTTACATATATATATATATATAT